GACGATCAAATGTGGCTAGATCTGGCTGTCAATGGCCAGATCTAGCCGTAGATCTGACATTTTCCGACCAGATATGCGCCGATATGGCCGTGGATCTGGCCGGAAAAGGCCATATCGACGCACGAATGGCAAGATCCAGCCGGTCATGCGTCGATACAGCGACTCCGGCCACCCTCCGGCAATGGTGGCCGGCTGTCCGTATTTAATGAGTGGATTGCGGGTGTTTTTGTTAACTTTGAATATTTTATTATAGGGGTCTTTAGTAAATAAACAAACATAGAGGGTATTTTTCTTAATTTTCAAAGTTGTACATCTTAATACCCACCCAATTTAACCTTTTTCAAAATATTATTCTGAAAACTATCAAATAATGAACCAAATGGACCCTTAACTTTTACTACAGTGGTAATGACATACGCCAGTGGCGTAGCTAAGAATTAAGGAGGGGCAAAAATAATTCAATTAGTAAAAAGAAAAAGAATATGGGAAAAAGACACTCTGGGAATTCATTTCAATAAATAAAAGTTATAAGAACTTTCTTCCGTTTTGACTCAAGTTAGCCATGTGTGGAAACAAAGTGAAGTGCATTGCTACTCGAGGAGTTGAAATGACATGTGCTAGCAATTATCATTTCTCGATTCGATAGTTGATCGCCTTTCTTGGATATTTGCCACATGTCACCATTGATTGGTCAAGATTGCTTGATGAATGGAGGCTAAGATTTGTAGCAAATCAACGGCTTAGATTGACTCCCCCCATTTTGGCTTCCCGTTTGTCACTATAAAATGGGTTGTTTGCCTTTAATCTCCCATTCTTGCAATCTTGAAGGCTTTTCTGCTTGATCTTCATCTTCTTTGCTATCCTTAGTTCTTGTTTTCACGACAACTTCCGACGAACCTTTCCATCACTACATTTCAATAAGTTTCTCTTTGTACCCATGCTCTTTGTTTTCTTGAAGTTTTTTACTGTTGGGATCATCGTTATCACAGCTAGGTTAGTTCTTTTGGGTTTAAAAACACTCTGACCTTTGGTTTTAAGAGCATCTTGATAAGCGACCATTGGAATTCTCTGTCAGTTGTTGTGAATCTTGATAACTTGGTCGCATTTCTTTTTATGTGAGCATTCTAGATGCCTGAACTGGAGGCAGGTGTGGATAGGTCGCCCATTATTTGACATGTGACACTTCTTGTTTCAAGTATCCGTGAGCAAACTTGGTAAAAAATGTCTTCCTACAACATCAACAGTAAAAGGTTGTTTGTAGAGGGTTTCCCAACAGCTTCGACTGGTAGTGGGGAGAGAGCTTGGGATGAGCCTACTGTCGTGGCTCTTGAGCGGACTGTGGGTAGTTGGGTTGAAAACTCTTTGAACCTGGGCAAGGAAAACCCTAAAGCGAGCCCTCGATGTCAATCTAGGTTTAGAAAAGATCCAACCTCCTCAATCACCGAGGACGATCAGGCAGATAAGGGAGAGATTTGCAATCCTGCCCAAATATTCTCTTCGTGTTCCAGGAGATATTTTGCAAAAGTATCCCCTTGAGGTTAGGTGGCAATCTTCGAGACTCGCCTAAGGTGTCGTATGTCGATCCCATCTCACCCATTCATCTCTGACGTTATAGATCACTTTAACATCGCTCCCCTTCAGTTGACAAGGAACTCTTATATAATAATTATAGGCATGTACATTGCCTATGCTTTAGAAAAAATTGGCGAGCTATCTGTAGAGGAGCTTGTCCATTTGTATAGGCTAAAGAAAGGTCAAGGTGACACTTTCTATCTTTCCAAAGCGAGGAAAACCCATTTGGATGGGTTGATCAACGTCTCCAAGAAGTTCAAAAATTGGGATTCCGAGTATTTTTTCTATTGCTCTAGGGGTGATGGTGCTTTTGCCGATGAAGCCCATGGGCATGGTTTTAAAACCCAACCCGACCCGACCGGTTGAATCGGTTCGATCAAGAACCGATGGTTAGAACGGGGTCGGTTCATATAAAAAATTAGAATTAGCATTTGATCCGCTTCCACCCACAGTTGGACAAATTTTTTTACGACGAACCACAGGTGAAATAAATGATTGATATTTGTTATCTGTAGAACAATAAGAATAGAACAAGAAGAGCAACCTTCAATGTTAGTAGATTGTAGCCGAGAAGAAGCTGAAGACGTCGGAGAATCGACTCCAAGAATTGGAGTTGCTGAAGAGTGAAGAGTAAAGACGAAGGAGATGAGACAAATCAACGACGGTGATACACATACCTTGATGCATCGACAGTGGAGACTACAAATGTGGCTGATGAGAAGCGAAGACAAGAGAAGCGGCGACGATGGAGTTAGGGATTTCAATGACGATGAGTTTAAGAGAAGGTTGATGAGAGACAGAGAGAGTGAGTTTGAGTTAGGGATTTTGCGATTTGGGGCAAAATGAAAAGGGGAAAGGGTTTTTTTTTTTTATTTTATTTTAAAACAAGCGGGTACCCGCGAGTGTACCCGCTTGACCCGTTGGCAGAACAGGTCGGGCCAGGTATGGGTAGAAAAAAAGGGGTCCAATATTAAAGACCCACACCCTATATTTTTTATCTGGGTTTTGGGTCGACCCATGGGTCTAGACCCATTTTGCCAGGTCTAAAATTGACTCTTCCAAAATCCAGACCCATTAGGATTAAAACATCTATGAATGGGTTTATAACAAAGATGCCCTACATATAATTAAATAATAAAAATTCTCCCATAATTGTATTAGTAACAGAAATTCCTCAGTTAAGTTTTTGTTATTAAAAAAAACAGCAAAGCAACAATTTCATAAACATTTATTAATTGATCATATTAAAAAATTTAACGACATACTAATGATTCACTATTAACAAGAGATTTCTGTTATTTCTGAAATTTCAGAAAAAAATGTATTATTTAATTAAACATCAGGGGTTGAGGAAAAACCCACCCCTTTATTAATTGTAAACCTATCTTCAAAAATTAAGTTAAAGACGTGTACTGCAAGCGAGAAAGAAAACAATCTAAGGACATCTCCAACCCACGAGTAAAAAACACTAAAATGGCATGGGTTTTGGTGCAGCACTGTAGCGCCACACCAAATTGGCGTGGCACTGTAGCAATTTTTTTTTTTTTAATTTTGTTAAGTTAATTTGATATTTTGATTATTAAATTTTACACCAAAAATCACACCAAAAACGATGAAAAATTAAAAATAAAACTTTATTCAATGCAAATATTAAACTATAATAACTCAAAATAAAAATTAACACTAATTTAAAAACACTAAATCTAAAAAGCTTGTATAGACAACACATCTTTTTGAGCTTGAATGAATAATATATCTTTTGAAATAAGCTATAAATCTAAAAAGCTTGAATGGACAATACATCTTTTTGAATTAGCCACAAATCTCAAAAGCTTGTCGTTGATGAAAAAGTCAGATTTCAAAATTTTCTTGCTCGACATAGATAAATCAAGGATATAGAGGCTCATCATGCTCTTCAAAATGCATAAATTGATCATTTGTGAGAAGAACATACTAATTCGGAAAAAAAAATTTTGTATCATTTTATATTAGATGTAATGTTTTTCTATATTAAATGTAATATTTATTTGATTAAATAAATGCTTAATTTTATTAAATTAGTATAATTTTCAAAGTAATTATTATTTAATAGAAATATTATTTCTAATATTTAATTAATATATACAAAAATAATGAGTGAAATAGATTAATGGTTGATTATTATAATAAAAGAAAAAGAAAGAGAATATACTGAAGAATATTTTTTTCGGTGTAATATTTGATGTAGTAGATTGAAGATGTAATAGTGTTTTACATCCAAATTTGCACCAATTTGGTGCAATGAGTTGGAGATGGTCTAACAAGCCATCTTTTTATTGATTTCACTTCAATCCAGCTTTTTCTTTCACTTTCAAGGAGGTGGGAACTTTGATTTTTTTTGAAGTGATTGATCCTGTTCACTTAACTGATTTGGGCATTAGTAATTGGCGTGTAAAATTAATCTTATTTGTGAATACAAAAATTGATATTTGCGCATTCTGGGAAAGGTTATGAACAGATTGTAAATATAAATAATTGAGTTTAGCCTTGAGATGAACTTTGTTTTTGTCTCTATATTTGACACTTTCTTCTCCCTTTTAATCGCCATGCCAGTCTCTTGAATCTCGGAATTTGATTGTCACCATTTTCGTCCTCCTGCGAAAGTTAAATTGAGTTTTCAATCTGAGTAAATTGATCCTCTTCAACCTTTTGATAACATCGTTTGCTTTACCTTCTTTCCTTTTTTTCCTTCTCTTTTCGATCTTGAACTTTGATTGTCACGATATATTTTCCTTTTGGGAAAGATACCAAGAAAGGAAATCAATTACAAGGAGCAAAAGGTCAGCAATTTCATAGTTATCGGTCACCCTATATTATTTCTTTTTTACTTGTTAAGAGAGAATTATAACTTTCATTGTCGTGGAAGAAATGAAAGCGCACAATTAATCAGCACATAAACTTATGGAGTATCATTTTGTTGGTGTAGAAAAGTAGAAACTGAAGTACTGATGGATCCTGTTCAACCTTCCGATGAATTGGATGGAGACATAATCAATGAGATCAAGCAAGATGATTCCGGTGAGCAAGCCTCAAAACTGAAAAGCCCTGATAATGATTATGAATCTGAATACATAAGGTAAATTAAACACAGTACTTGTATTACTTTACTTTCCAACTATTATTTTAGTCCAAAAGGACCAAAACTGATCACTAATCAACCCTGTGCAACCTTCCAGTTCCTTGGTTAACAGAAAAGGAGACGAAATCACCGAGCCGAAGAATGGTGGAGCTGCTTGTGAGGAGAATGTCACTGAGTCGAAGTGGGGTGAAGCTTCTGGCAAGGCGAATGTCAATGAAATGAGGCATACTGAAGAGGGTGAGCAGATTGTCGCTGAGATGAAGCATGATGAAGCTGGGGATCAGGAGATCATAGACCATAATATGGATCATTTTCGGTACCAGCCGTTATGCAAGGCAATACTAGAGAATGATTGGAAAGGTGTAGAAGATCTCATAAGTAAAGATCCCCAGTCCTTAACCGCAAATATTAAATATTATACTTACATTGAGACCTTTTTCAACATAATTATTCGAAATTTAGATGCCCCCATTTGGCTTTTGGAAAAGCTTTCATCAAAGGTCGCACCAGAATTACTAGAAACATTGGTTGATTCCAGTGACCGGTCGCCTCTTTCCCAAGCTGCTGCATACGGTAATATCAAGGCTGCACAAGTCTTTGTGAGAAGAAACAAAGATTTACCAAACATAAGAAACAGCCAAGGTGTACTTCCAATTCACATAGCAGCGGAGTATGGCCACAAGGAAATGATTCAATATCTACTGTCAGTGACAAAAACAGCTTTGGATAATGACAAAGATGTTGAGTTACTTCAATCTCTGATCAGATCTAGTATATATGGTAAGTGCATTATAGATTTATAACCGGCAATTTAATTACTTGTTTTCATAGATTCACCTGAGTCAACTGATCGTTATTATTTTGCTTGAATCAATTCTTGTTCTTTGCTTTCCAATTTTTCACCATGGTCTCTGGTGGTGATGAATTTCATATGGTGTCCAATTGCAGGTATAGCTTTAGAGTTGATGAGGCAATATCCAAAGTTATCTCGTGAGTTACAAAGCAATGAGAGAGCAAGAATTTTAGCAATATTGGCTAGTAAGCCTTCGGCATTTGCAAGTGGGAGTCGGCTTGGATATTGGAAACGCTTAATCTATCATTGTTGGTGATATATACATATAAATTATCATTTATTTTTTTTAATTTACTTTTTAGTTAATTAATATTTGATGAACTTATGCATATATACTTGAAAAACCACTGGATTTACAAGTTCTTACTTGTCTTTGCAGGGATTCCTGTGCAAGAAGAACATATTCCTCACCCTCCAAGTGTGGATGCAGACGTGGAGAATTCCATCGTGATATCACAGAAGTTTAAAAACTTCACATATGGATCTACTCTTCAACAAATCTTTTCAACATTTGGTATGAGGTTGAACACCCATATATATATATATATATATACACACACACACACACATACATATGTACAAATATTTTATAGAATACAACATCACCTAATAACTTATGATTTATCTGATAGGTTTTTTTAGCCAAAAATTACATCTCGTGCTTTGGAATTTCCTCTTGCAACTGGGTAAGCGTTGAACTAACAGTTCTCTCAAAAAGTAGTTTGAAAGTATATCTCCTTTTATTGACTTGAGTTGAATTGTAGTCCCAGGAATCAAAAGCATGCGTGATACAAAGCTAATGCATACACAGACACTTCAAATAGCCAAAATCATGTGTCATGAGGGAATTACTTGGAGTGCAAAAGAGGGTAATGAGACCTTATGGTTCCCTGCTGTTACAGCTGTAAGATTGGGGATTTGTGAGCTTGTCCATGAAATTTCAAAGGCCTTCTACTATTCGTATATTTTCAGAGAAAATGGTCATGGCTTATTTCATCTTGCTATTCTACATCGCCAAGAAGGAGTTCTAAATATCCTAAATAAAATTTATTCTTTTGTATGGGGTTTTGAAGTTGCCATGACTAGTGTAAAAAGGGACAACATTTTGCACATAGCTGGAAGGCTGGGACCTTCAACTCAAGTAGCAGGTGCAGCATTGCAGATGCAAAGGGAGCTACAGTGGTACAAGGTGATAAATGATCTTCTTATAACTCATAATAATGTCGAAGATTTATGTTCAAGAAACATATTAATTTACCGCTGTTCTTCCAAATGCTAACGTTTTTATACATCTTTAGGTTGTGGAAAGTTATGTCCATCCATCCCTTCAAGAACATCTAAATTCTTCTGATCAAACTCCTAGAGAAGTGTTTACTAAAGAGCACAAGGATTTATTGAAAGAAGGTGAAAAATGGATGAAGGAGACAGCTTCGTCATGCGCACTTGTTGCTGCTCTCATAATCACAGTTGTCTTTGCAGCAGCATTCACTGTACCAGGTGGTAACAACACAGTAGGGATACCCATGTTCTTGCAACAACCATCTTTCTTAGTGTTTGCCGTATCAGATGCGCTTGCACTCTTTTCTTCTACCGCTTCACTGCTCATGTTCTTGGGCATCCTCACTTCACGTTATGCAGAAGAGGATTTTCTAAACTCCTTGCCTAAGAAATTGATTATTGGCCTCATAACCTTGTTTTTATCTATTGCAAGCATGATGGTAGCATTTGGCGCAACTATTTACTTATTTCTTTCTCATCCATGGAAATGGGTCATTATTCCAATTTCCCTACTTGGATGTGTCCCTGTGACTTTGTTTGCAATGTTGCAGTTTCCTCTCTTGGTTGACATGTTCTTATCCACTTACGGACCTAGTATACTTAAACCAAGGAAAGTAAGGATGTAATAATATTTATTGTTCAGAAGAGCTACACAAATTGTTTCTTGCTTAACTGATGATTCTTCTTAAATTCTCCAAACTGATGATCAGAAAACAAGATAGGGATATTTATATTAATGTCAGTAGCGGCCGCAACCATAGACTTAAAGGCAATACTTCTTAAATTAAAAGCAATTAACAAATAAACATGAGTAGAAAAGTTAAATAAATATTGAAAAGTACAGAACAGCATGTCCCACAAAGGTTACAGCCTGCCTTGAATTCTCCCAAAGAAGTGAGGTGGTATAGAAATTTATAAAGTATTGAATAAGTAATACTAAATATGTACGTACAGAAATTTTCTAAAAAGTATTTATTACCTTGAATTCTTATATTCATTCATCTATTCATTTGGTAATACGTCATTTTGTATGCACATTTCGTATAGAGTTTGAAATTTTCTTATCCGCTTATTATCTAAGCATTTCCATAACACTCAACTGAGGATGTAATTCTCGGAAGAGGAGCTTCACACAAGTTCTTCCTTCAGGGTCAGTTCTATTTGAAGAATAGGAGAAGAAGAGAGATTGCCAGAGTGATAATCAAAACATTGGTTTAAGGCATATTTATAAAAGTTTCTGCAATCATATAACTAAACCAGTAACTAGTTCATGTAAGTAAATATTGAAATTGATTCCAAGAGTTCTATTAGAAACAGAATAGAACAGGGCAGCACATAACTTCATCAATTTCTTTTAGCTATAATAATATCTTATTTGTGAATCAAAGATCTCATCTAACCTTAGAGTGTAAACGCAGTATGGTGTTGGTTTTCTTGATTTTTTATTGTTTTTTTTTTTAATTTGCTCTGTTATGTTTTCTAGGGAACCTCAAATGAGGGGACTTAATATCAAAATAGACTTAAAGTCAACACCGAACGAAGAATTGAACTTCATTGAATATTCTTATTCATACCTTATTTCAGTCTTGTTGATTTGAATGTTAGTTTCACACTTATCTTTTTTGTGTATGTAAGTCTAACAGATCGTCGGTGGTCTCAATCTTACAAGATGAGTCCGTTCCGTGACAGTAGATTTTACCATCTACAGTTTATTGATTTTGTACCTGTTCTGTTTTTTAGGGAACCTCGAATGAGGGGACTTTTCAAAATAGACTTAAAAGCCAATACTGAATGAAGAATTGGACTTCATTGAATAGTCTTAAAAGTCAAACCAATAGCTAATGACTATTGTTTAATATATCTTTATAATAATCTCTCGTGTTTTAATAAAGGCCAGCTTGATCTACAAATAACCATTAATTTATGATATTTTTATTTAAAAAGCTTTAAATAATAAAATAAGTTCAAATAAAATTATGGTTGTTGACCACCATTGATGCAGTTCTTTAGGACATAATATGGTCATCAAACTTAGTTTTAATATTAAAGTTTAAATCAACTCAAATCATTAAATTAATTTCTGGGCAACATTATTCTAATCATCAAATTTCGAGGGTTAGGTTTAAGCATGAATTTAAGATAGTTGCATGACTAACTAAATATTATTACCAACTTCTAATCAAGTTTTAAGTCTTTCTTTATGTTAATATAGTTTTAGTCAGCTTTTTGCATTAGCAAATTATCAAGTCTTTTAGATCTTCATTCTCAAAGATTTCAACAACCCGAATTAAAGATAGTTGCATGACTAACTAAATATTATTACCAACTTCTAATCAAGTTTTAAGTCTTTCTTTATGTTAATATAGTTTTAGTCAGCTTTTTGTATTAGCAAATTATCAAGTCTTTTAGATCTTCATTCTCAAAGATTTCAACAACCCGAATTAAATTTTATATAAAGAAATTGTCAATTTTGTCCTGTAACTTTAGATTTTCCTTTTGCCACACCAGATTTTGAACATTACACTTTGACCCATCATATATTCATATATGTATGTAGTATTCACATTTCTCTAAACCCTTTTGTCACGCCCCTCCTCAGTATCTCTATCCCACTGGATCCAGGCGCTCCAGGAGACTCAGGATTTTGAGAGGAGGTTGAATATTTTGGAAATATTTTGTAAAAACAATTTTTTTTTTAATTAACGTAAATGAAAAGTCGTATAATTGAATGTTTCAAATGAGGATTCTGAAATCGGAAATAAATAAAATAAATGTCTGAAAACAAGAGTTACAAAACCTGAATACAGAAAACATAGTATCAGAGTGCACTACAATTTTACAATTTTCTAGTCTATCTTTAAATTGATCTGGAAGAAAAAAAAATACTTAAAGAAAAGGAATTAAATATAAACCCTTGAAACTACTACGGTACATAGAAAAGGCAGTTAAACAATAAACTCACCCATGAAGGAATAAATGTCCAATTTCGTGGGATGACCTCTACCTTATTGCCAATGCTTCCTCTAACTTCAATTACAAAATCCTCATTCATATTTGTTATGGTCAATTTCTCCACGGTAGTCAAGCCCTCCAATCTGGTAGCTGTATGGGCAAAAATCATCTTGCACCTGACGAGGCCTAATAACAAAATAAACATATCACGGCCCAATGCTTTAGCCCAATTCTGGTTGGGCCTACGCTTAAAGTCACCTTGTGAATTGCTCATTCTATGAGTTGGGCTATCTTACAAGTTAAGCTGAACTGGGTTCTGACCCATTAGTCTACAACAATCCATAAAAAAGACATCAGAGTCATATTCTTTTTCCTCTTCTGCTAAGATTCCGAGTCTTACCCAAACTAGTAAACTTGATCTGATAGGGATTATCTCCCAAAATATGGCTCAACGTCCTATTAGGATTCCAATCCCTTGGGTTCACTATAAAAACAAAGGTCTGACCTCTCATTATTCACTCAATCTCCAATATTCAATGTCGACTACTCAAAACCACATCTACTTGTTCTTAAATTCTTGCTCACGAGAACCTGACACCTTCGTCGTAGACCTAGCCTCCGACAAGAATCCTAGTAATCTTTCTTTCCCTAATTCCCATTAAATGCAACCTTCCTGACTTGAGCGTCGGAGTGCCTACAGTAAACACCACCCTGGTGTTTTTTGTAAGCTTCACGCTTGTCCTTTCATGTGTACAGGTCCAGCTGATTGTCAGTGGCCTTAACCTCATAGGATCAGAACCTATTTTCGTAATCATAGATTTTTTGTATTTACAGTTTGGCAACTACCGTGGGCCCTAACAATCATCCGACTAGCAACGACCTGCTCCACACTTGCCCTTCAGGATTCACTACATAGGTGGGAGCACCTTCATGCTCAGTTACACCTGGCGTCTCAGGTCGATTTGATAGTAACAAATCAATAAAATCATATAAGAGTTGGATCAATAAATCAATCAATGGAAAACTCAACATAACAAGAAACCAACACGAACTTAATCAACTCTTTCATGGAGATCGAGGTAGCCCTTACCTCATCCTATAAGAGCCCATGTTACAAACTCTGTTTTAGTTTCAGAGAAAGAGAGAGAACAAAGAAGTAGAATCGGGAAGAAGAGTTGCATTTACTTTCTTTCTTTTTTACAACTAATTGTTTTCTTAAACAATTAAACTAAACTTTATGACTAATCATGTTATGACATTTGAACTTCCTATTTATTATTTACAAATTATTTACATCATCCAATAACTCTTGTATTATCTTTGAATTTTTTAGACTAATTAGGAATAACTAGTTCTTATTTTGATAATTAAGGATGTTTATAAGAAGATCAATACTATTACACTCACAAATTCTTCTCATTAACTTTCTCTCACAAACACGACGTGTCAGCTCGTAATTGGTCAGTTCGCAATGGATCCCGCCTGACTAAATGTGAACTAACCAATGCGAGCTGTCACGTTAGCGTTTATGAGAGAAAGTTATGAGAAGTGTTTGTCAATCTATCTTTATTCTAAGAAGACTGCAGTATTCGATAATCATATCCAAGAAGTACTTTAAAGTATATTAATCATCCAACAGAAAAAAGCTATACATAAGCATAGAACATGTTGATGGTTTTCAGAATTTAGAATGAATGAAAAACAGCTGCTGAGAAAAGGAATAAATGGAAAAGAAGTAAAAGTTAAAGTGTTCCTCTATTTTACTGCTGTTAATTTCTTTTCACTTTTTCTTTCTTCGATCCAGAACTGTTCCCCGGGTCCCAACAATTTTTTTATGTGTTAAGATCTGAAACTTTGATTATCGTGGAAGAGATAAGCCGATGCATATTTAATGGAGGACCCGCTGGTCTTTTTAGAAAAATCAAAGCCAGACAAAAAGAAATTATTATTGTAAACTTTGATTGTCAAGGAAGAAATGAATTTCATACTCTGCTATTGCATTTCATTACATGTAAGTTATAATAAGAACTTTCTTCCATCTGACTCATGGAATTAACATAAAAAAGAACATTTCCAACACAATTTCATCCCGTGGAAGTTTTTGGTTTTTCAAGAATAAGATTAATGATTAGAAATGATTGGCTTTAGCCTTTTGAGATCTTTACAAAAATTCAGCCGAGCACTGTCATTGCTTGCTAGGATTTGCATTAAAAAACGGATGACATTGTTTATAGAGTTTTATTAAAATGATACGCATATTATTTTTCAAATATTACCATATTTGCTCTTACATATAGTCTGCTTTGGACCTTTGGTAACATCTCTTCAAGAACAGAGAAATCTTTTGCGTAGAACTGGTAGAAATATTGAGAACACTCTAAAAATACCGGTCCAAATTACGCTGCAATAGTGAACATAGCTAAGCTAGCTTGATATTGAACTCTGTAAACCATTATAAAAATCTAAGATTTAAAAGTGTTAATTTAGAATCTAAGATGATGACTAGAGTTAAATGGAGTCATAAAGAAGATTAGCACCAGTAAGGAAGTCAATGTTTACAGATATTAAATTTGGGATTTACTAGCTTGTCAATGAATTTTTGGATATCTGTTTCTGCTCTGGTACTCCCCAAAATGAAGATCTGCATCACTAAGAAAATATTTTGAGTCTCGTTGAAACAAAAATGAATTTGGTAAAAGTGAAAGCACCCATTTGAGTATCAAATGTAACAACATCTTGCATTTATCTGGAAAATCAATATGTTCAAATCCTTGATACAGCAAGGTAGATGCAGCCATGCAGGGGCCCGACCGGTTTCCAAATGTTCAAGGTGAAACATCTTCTGTACATATACGATCTAACAGTACTTTAAAATTTATGTCTTAGAATTTCTTGGTTCTAGATGCTTAAAACCTTATGATTAGTTAAATGAAGGTAACTCTTGTATTATCTTTGAATTTATTTAGATTAACAAAACTGAAAACAGAACAAAACAGAGCAGCAGCTGTGTTACAATGCCTTTGTGAAATTATATTACACAAATTATAACTATTTTTACACATGTAAAAATATTGCAGTATTCAAAAATCGTAGAAAAAACAAACAAAGAAGAGAAGGAATATCTGAAGGCTTACAGCATGGAATTCCTATTTTACCTAGCAAGAAAGTAATCCAGTAAGCACTTCAAAGTAAATTAATTATCCAACAGAAAAAGGCTAGAGACAAGCATGGAACATGTTAATGATCCTTCAGCATTTAGAATCAACGAAAACAGCTACTGAAGAAAGGAATGAGCGGAAAAGAAGTAAGAGTTAAGTGTTGGACCTTTCCTATTTTATTGCTGTTAACTTCTTTTTAATTTTTATTTCTTCAATCTTATGTTTCTTTTTGTAAAGGTTCTGTCTCTTTCTAAAATTCAAATCTATTCCCCAGGCCCAAACAATTATTTTATTTGTTAAGATTTGAAACTTTGATTGTCATGGAAGAAATCAACCAATCCAAATGAAGAAAGCAAATTTGATTGTCAAGGAAGAAATGAATTTCATGCAAAATATTATAATTAAAAGTTTTCATCCTGGGGAAGATTTTGCTTTTTCAAGAATAAAATTAATGATTAGAATTGTTTCTATGAATTGGCTTTAGCCTTTTGAGATATTTACAAATAGCTTAAACCCGAGGGAGTACTCTTCGTCCCAAACCGCCAATGGAGGATCCTACTCAACATTACTGAGGTGAAGCAATATGAGTCCAGTGAACAAACAGCTGAATCGCAGAGCCTTAAGAATGATGGACCTGTGAATGCGGAAGGTAAGTAAAAGACATTGATATTAAGTAAAGGTTCAGCATTTCTTTGTATTCATTAGTATCTTTTTAACTCTTTCATTTGTTGATTCAATAACTAATACATCATAATTTGGATTTAATATAGCGAGCACGAGGGGAGACCAAACCAGTGAGGTGAAGCAAGGTGATTCAGGTGAACAAACTGCAGAATTGCAAAGCCACAAGAATGATGAACCTGTTAATGCAGAAGGTAATTAATTAGTTTGAAATATATTGATTCGGAGTGAAAGTTCTTTCTATTGATCTATCTGTATATAATTCGGAATTCATAGTGAACGAAACGAGTGAGGAGAATGAGGATCATATTCAGTACCGGTCATAAAACAAGGCTGTACAAGAGAAAGATTGGAAGAGAGTTGAAGATTTCATAACCAAAGATCCCCAGGTGTTGGCCGCCAAGATTAAAGTATATCGTGAGGAAACAGTTATTCACATAATTACTCTTAATTTAGACGCCCCCTTTTCGCTTCTGGAGAAGATTGCATCAAAAGTTGGTCCAGAAGCACTAGAAAAATTGAAAAATGAAACGGGGCGGACGCCTATATTCCAGGCTGCTACATATGGCAATACAAAAGCTGCTAAAGCGTTTGTGCTTAAGCACAAAGAATTGCCGAACGTAAGAGACAGCGAGGGTTTACTTCCAATTCACCATGCTGCAATCCGTGGCCACAAGGAAACAATTCAATATTTACTCTCAGTGACAGGAGTTCCCTTAGATGACACGAACGGTGTCTGGCTGCTTACGAATCTCATCAATTCTGGTCTCTATGGTCAGTGTAAATTTGATCTTACAGCAATACTTTAACCTGGTTTTTCATTGTTAATCTCTACCCCATTGATTTACAGGAATAGCTTTAGATTTATTGAAGCGATATCCAAAGTTAGCACGTAAGAGAAACCAGGACAGAAAACGGATATTGAGCATACTGACTAATAAGCCTTCGGCGTTTGAAAGTGGGAGTCGGCTTGGATATTGGAAACGCTTAATCTATAAATGTTAGTGGTAACAATCTTCTTTTATTTTTTATTTTCCACAAAGTCTTCCATTTGTTCACAAAAGACACAAAAATCTTTGAATGGTGGTTATTAAATTTGTATTATAAGGGAAGTATAAAATCTGTGCAGTGATTCCGGTGCAAGAAGAACAAATTCCTGGCCCTCAAAATGCGGATGGAGACATGGAGAACCCTGTTGATGATAGATCAAGCAAGTTAGTAACAAGATTCACACATCTGGAATTTCTTCAACAAATCTCTATTGCCTTCGGTATGTACTCATATCACTCCCTCTGTTTATATAATATATCAGTGTATGTTCCTTCTAAATCATCAATCAATGTTACTTAATAATTAACTTATGATTCTGAAAACAGTTTTGCTTATGTAACACAGGTGCTTTCCACAAAAAATTGCATATAATGATCTGGAATGCTCTCGTGCTGCTAGGTAACCATTCAATTATACATTCTCTTTAAAGGAATAGTCTCTGTAGGATATCTTGATTAACTTCTTTCATTGACTTGATGTGAATTGCAGTCCCAGGCATTAAAAGCATAAGTGAAACAAAGTTAATGCATATGCAAACACTTAAAATAGTCAGAACCATGTGTCATGAGGGAGTGATTTGGAGTAATAAAGAAGCTAAGAAATCACTGTGGGAACCGATGCTTACAGCCGCAACATTAGGGATTTACGAGCTTGTCTATGAAATCATGAAGGCCTATTTCTATTCTTTTACTTTCCTTGCCGATAATCAAGATGATGTATTTCGTCTTGCAATTCTTCATCGCCATGAAAATGTTTTTAGTCTTGTAAATAAAAGAAATGTTTTACTTTCGTGGCACCCGGACATGAAGCAAGTGGCCAATATGAGTGTAAAAACTAAAAACATTTTGCATTTGGCTGGAAAGTTTAAACCTTCTAGTCAAATCCCAGGTGCTGCATTGCAAATGCAGAGAGAACTACAGTGGTTCAAGGTGATAAATCTTCTATATGTCAAATCTAACATAGCAATAATTAATCTTTTAAGAATCAGAATTGTTACTGTTAATGCCTTTTGTTGTCTTCAGGCTGTAGAAAGTTGTGTCCATCCATCCCTTCAAGAACAGCGAAATGAGTCCAATGAAACTCCTAGACAGGTGTTTACCAAAGAACATGAAAGACTAGTCGAAAAAGGTGAAAATGGATGAAGGAGACTGCTTTATCATGCACACTTGTAGCTGCACTTATAATCACAGTAGTCTTTGCAGCAGCTTTCACTGTACCAGGCGGCAGCAACACTGAAGGCATACCCACTTTCTTGCACAAACCACCTTTCATTGTTTTTGTCATATCAGATGCTCTTGCACTCTTTTCTTCCACTGCTTCATTGTTAATGTTCTTGGGCATCCTCACTTCACGTTATGCAGAAGAAGACTTCCTCGACTCCCTACCAAAGAAATTAATTATTGGTCTTATCGCGTTGTTCTTCTCAATTGCAAGTATGATGGTAGCATTTGGTGCAACCATTTACATATTTCTTTCTCATCCATGGAAATGGGTTATCATTCCAATTTCCTTACTTGGGTGTGTCCCAGTGTCCTTGTTTGGTTTGCTGCAATTTCCTCTTTTGGTTGAAATATTCTCATCCACTTATGGGCCTAGTATTTTTCAAGCAAGGAAGTAAGGATGTAATAATTCTCCAGAAGAGCTGCACAATTTATTTATTAAGTTAATTAGGCCATTTTTTTTACGGAAACATTAATGGAAGGAGGTGAATTTAATTATTAAGAAGATCAATGTTGAATTGAACAATGGAGGATGATTGTTAATACACACTACTAGGAGGGTAAACAAAGACAATGTTTTAAAATGTACAGTAATGATAGGTTCACAACCCTCGACGTGTCAGTTCGTAATTGGTCAATTCGTAATTGGTCAATTCGCAATTGGGCAAGTGGGACCCTTTTGCAAGCTACCACGTGAGGGTTGTGAGATTGGGTTGTGGACCTAACATTACTTTTTAAAATGTCTTTTATTTCATAGAAAAGCGTCTTCTATTTTATAGCAAAATGATTTTTTTTTTTTTAAACTTTATTTTACACTAACATTTTATAGAATTAATATTTTTCACGTTAAATATTTGTAGACGTAAAAATCTACTTGTACGAAAGGAGGGACTGATCCCATGAGGTTGAGGCCACTAGTGATCCGCTGTACCTGCACATGTAGAGAAACGAATGTGAAGCGACGGAAAACACTGGGGTGGTGTCTGCCGTAGGCACTCCGACGCTCAAGTCAGCAAGGCTGAAAGGCTGATTTAGTGGGGGCTAGGGAGTAGAGAAGTTACCAGAAGTCTAGTCGGGGACTGTGACTATGGCGATGAAGTGAAGTTCTCAAGCTAGAACTCCAGGGTTTGTAGGTGTAGTGTAGTCTGCCTTGTGAGAGGGCATGCCTCTGTTTAAATAGTGACTATCTAGTCTCCCAATCCTGGTGGAATTAGGAGTTCTCATAGCAATCCGTTTCCTTCAGGATATATCCTTTGATCCCCTTATCCTGGCGTGAAAGAAAGTCCAAGTATGACTCTGACACAGACCTTGGAGGAATTGGGGTGGTAGTGGATTTCTTTGCCAATGTTCAAATGGGAGTGTGATCTGCAGGTGACCATGGGCTCTGAATTCGTTCATAGATCCAGGAAGTGAACTGAGATTAGGAGGCTTGTGCCCCGGATGGTTTGGGCTGGCTATATTGAATGGGCCTAGTCCAGATTGGGCCTCATCGGGATTAGGCATGGTCTCTTCCTCATTGTCAGTCCCGCTTTCTTATGTGGGCTAAGGACGATTTTTGGCCCTAACAGTTTGCCCCCCACTCTCTGAGTTAAGATTTTTCTTAAGTCAGAGAGTAGGAAGAGAATGAGGCGTACTTGGTCTCCCTTCCCAGATGACCAATTATCGGCACAGCCAACCAGTTTGATGCAGGTGATTCGTGGTCAAGGGTCGTTCGATACCTGTTGCAGATCTGGATTATGCAGTCACCCAAGAGGGTGTGTCTGGTCGGTGTGAAAGGCTGAAGAGGCTGGAATAACGGGACTCCTGAGGCTCATGTGCTCGTTCGGTGTGTTCTGCTAACTGAAGAGTTGAGCTAGCACCCCTTGATAGGGGTATTCGCTCGGCATGCCGGGTCGAATGAGTTAGGGAAGACATTACATTGATGTTTCGTTCGGTCGGGGTACCCAGGTGATCAGGTGGATGAAATGCGTGAGCTTCGACCTTTGGTTGTCCACTCGTCCACTATGGAAGACCGAATGGACGAGGCCTCCTGCTTGGTTCATCTCAAGAGGGAATACGAGCTGGGTCGTTCTAAGCTGATCGAGCAGTCGGGAGGATCTCCTGGGCCTGCGAAGCATGGGGGCATGTTGGGTATATTTCGGAAGTCGCACGCTGAGTCGGTCGGGAGGACAGGGCGGTTGAGTCATGGCTTTCGTACGGTGCTGCAGTTTCCTAGGTGCCGTGAATTACTGCCATGTGTACGTTGGCAATTTGCCCCTCGTTTTGGAGGCGGGAAAATGAAGAGACGCTCTGACCGTTGGCCAATCGTGAGTTGCCACGTGTCCGCTTCATTCAGATTTCTCTTATAAAAACGGAGGAGTGGACTATTCGTCTTCCATTCGCATTTTTCCTCCATTTTCCTGCAAACAAACTTTTTCCTTCTTTGTTTCAAGTTTCTCTTCAGTGACAGTGGATTCTCTCTACAGATATCGGCTTTTTTTCATGGTAAACACATTACTTTCGTGACGTCTCTTTGTTTTCTTTGTGCTTGTGCATGTTTTTTGAAGTGATTAGGCAGTGTTTCGACTAGATTATGTTTATTTTTAAGGAGTTTGAGCGGTGTTTGGAAGTAGTTTTGGTTTGGTGTTTTTCCTAAAGGTTTTGCTTGTGTTAAGACTAGGCTTAAAAGGTTTTGCCTAAGGATAGATTTGGATATTGGATTTTCTGGAGAATTTTTTGGAGTTTCTCGGTTTTGGACAGAAAAAAGGAAGATGAAGTCGAGTTGCGTACCATCTTGATTCGGTTCGGTCGGTCTGTCTAAACGAATCAAGTGACCAAGGTGGACTTGGGTTATTAGTGGACAGCTTTGCGTGGGATAGGTAGATCATCCGGTCCATCCGACCGAGTGGTGGGTGGATTGTGAGAAGGGTGGATTTGTACAAGGGATCGGTCATCTAGACCAAGTAGGTGGTTGTATGGTCAGTTAGTGTTTGGATTGGTGAGTCGGCGACCAAGGGCGAGTTGACTCATAGAGGTAAGCTCGAAGGTTGATCGGTCACTTGGGGCAAGCGAGAGAAGCCTTTGGATCTTGGACCTGGTTGGTCAGTAGCAAAGGTCGATCAGGATTAGGGTTGAGGGTTGACAAGTTGTTGATGTGGGTAGGTTAACCGGTGCTGAAGGACGAATGATCGCTTGGTGTTGTAGTTACTCGGTCGGTGGTTCAGGGCGAGTGGTCGCTTAACACTTAGGATTTTGGGAGTTTAGATAGACATCATCGAGTCGGTCGGTTGGGTAGGGCGATCAGATCGAAATGTCGGGCTCTGATAAGAGCTTGAATGTTTATATTTTGTTAGTGATTTAATTGGTTTATTTATGAAAAAATGTGTTTAAAGTGTGGAATTTGGATTATTTCTTTCATAAATACCATTTATGGGATCACGGGTGCATTTTGAGTGTTTTCAGGCTCAAACAGGTTTTTGAAGGGAAAAAGAATGATGTCGTAGGATTCACAATGCGTAGGAACAAACAGCACAAGAATCAGGGTCGAAATGAGGAAGTTGTGGCACATTGAAGATGTTACGAAAAATCTGGAAATCCTTCATCATGAGTATACCTCGATGTTTCTGTCATAACTTGAGCTATAGAAATTGGAATTCGATGATTCTGGTGGCGTTGGAAAGCTTATTCATAGAGCTACAATGTTCATGTTGATGACTTGTTCAAATTATGAAGATTACGGATTCCTTGGATAGAAAGAACGATCGCCGCAGCGACCATTCTTACCGCCGCGGCGATGGGTCACGGGTGTGTGTTAATTCATTATCCTAATCTGAATCTAAATGGGCTAAGTTTTCAAATCTTTTTCCTAAGCACGACCAGGACCCTAGAGATATAAAGGAGAGTCTTTAAGAAGTAAAAGGGAGACTTTTGGGAAAAAGAAAAGGATGGCTACCAAATTGGAGATCGGGATCCTGAAAGCTCTTGTTCACCGATTAGAGAAGTTTTTATCTTTTTTTTCTTGAACTGATGTCATTGAATAGAATGATGGATTTTTTTATTTTCATTATGAACTAATTCTCTTTTCTGTAGCCCAATTTATGAATATGTGTTGACATTATTATGTTGATTTTATTTTGAGCATGAGTTCTAAGTTTTATTATCGTGTATAATGCTTTCAATTCTCAAGGGCCCGAGAGTTGAATGATATCATGGATTGGGTTGAGATCGAGAGATAAAACCTGATTTGTCTTAGGTAATAAAACCATAGATTGAGCGAACGCTAGATATAGGTTACCGCGATCTGTGAGGCTCCAGTGAATTCCATAGAGCTTAATGATCTCTTAGCTCCTAAATCCAACTTAGAGATATCTTGGGTTGTTGCTTAAGGGTTAATTTGCTAATTGCTCGAGATAGAGTTAGTGGAATAATAGGGGATTTGGCTTTTAGAATACGCTTGATTAGGTTAACAACAGATGTCAATGCATAAGATTAAATTGGTGCGAAATCTATGCCCTAGGTTTAGTCATATTGATCTTTACATCAAAGCGTTTACAAATTCTGCATTTATTTAGTTTTTAGTTTGTTACTTTATCATTAAAGCTTTTCTTAAAATTCTTTTTGATCAAATAGCAATAGGATATAATAGTTTGGTACTTGGTAGGTAGTTCCCTTGGGATTCGACACTCGTTTACTCGAGCTTTACTACTTGCACGATTTCGTACACTTGCAAATAGCTTGTCAGACTCAGAGTCAGGTAGTTCGAGCAAGGTTGTGGCAAATGCTGGGAATGAGTACGAACGTGCCCCCACCATAGTGATGATGCTCGAGGGGGGCGTTCCGACGGCTATACTGACTGGTGTTAGCGTAGCTGCCCCAGGGATGAGTGATGCCGGTCCAAGTGGTTCAGGCAAGCATGGGAGAAGTGGGGAAGACTCCGAAGGAGCCGATAGTCCGTCCTCATCAAGTGGTAGCTTTGAGGAGGAGCTGAGCCAACAAGGAAG